AATCCAAAACTTTTCCTCTCGACGTAAATATGGCCTTCCAACAATAAAAAGTTCAACTAAAGTATACTTTTGATCATTGTCAGCACTTTTCTAAGATTTTTTTGGTCATTATGCTCCACCGTGTACATCTCATCTCCATTTATAAGTCTCACTCAGCTCTATCTTTCAGATGTGCTGCATTCCGTATGTGATTTAAAAGGGGTGATGTTATAATGGACGAAGGTGCTGAGCTGGTTGAGGCGGCAGAGGCCCTGATCAAGGAGGCGAAGGAGCTCAAGGGGCAAGTGGAGACTCTGACAGATACTTACGGTGAACCATTGGACGGATGCCAGAAACTCAGTCGCAAAGTTGACTCCGAAATCAAATTCATCTCTCAGGTTTGAAAGGTTAAAATCGAATAAAAGGTGAAATACTGAATTAACCCACCTTCAAACACCTGTACAAACTGAAACAAAAAAAATTAACAAACAAGAATGATTTCAACAATCTACCTCTGACTTTATTAATTAAGAATTACAAATTAACACCACCGAATTTACAGCAACATGGCAGCGTTTAGCAACCGTTGAAACAGCTGAGAACTGAATACTTTAACACACTGCAACCCGCATCGGTTGTTAAGCGATTGAGGCACGATTAGACTCACCATTGAATAATTATCAGCAACAGACTTCAAATTATTGACAGAAAACGCCAAATCTGGTAGTTTTAATTGTCCTGATAACCAGTTCAGCTGTCCAGTACGCGCTTTAATGGTCTTCTTCATCGCCTATAGACTCTTTTGCCACAAGTCCTAGATTTTTGGCATATGTCTCTTGGTATAGAACAATGAATTTATCATTTTGAGGAACGTCTTAGCCCAAATAACGTAAAGTTCCTGAAAACTCGCGTCCAACATTTAGCTCAGAACAAAAAAAACAACGACTGTGAGCTTGAAGTTCAGGTCACCAGCCCACAGAAAATCATCGACTTGAACTGCGAGAAACCCAATAACAGACTTGTCATCAAAATGAAGACAAAGAGAACGGTCAAGTGCTGACATAACACAGCTAGTTGCAATTACGCATTTATGCAGCTTTTCATACCACTTCAAAGACGCATCTTGGAGACCTTAAACTATCTTGTCCGATCGCCAGATCAAGGTCATATTTGTTTCTTTCGGGGTCGTTATTCAACTTCCAGCCTTTCACTTGCCATAGAATAGAATACGGACACTTTTACGGGTACAAGTTGGAGATTGCTTGTCCTGCTTCCAAAGCTCGTAACCTTCGAAGCCTCTGGCAACCAATCTAGCTTTTTTGACCCCATTCTTGTCAGTGCAAACCCATCTACAGGAAATGCAATGTTGTCCTTTGCCCTTGACTGGTGTGAAAACGTCGAGATCTTCCCATTTAGCGCGTTTTGCTTGAGAAAAAGAATCTATGCTAACTGTCAGAACTCAATATGTAAAATTGATACTGTCAAAATTATTGCAAAAATTTGCCGTTGTCAAGTCGCAAAATTTTTCTGTCGTCTCGAATGTTCATCATTTGGAGTAGGAACTTTGATATTACGCCAATTTTTCTTAACTCCACCTCTTTGCCGCTGTTCAGAAATTTCCCATTGATAAGGCCGTTGCAGCAGTCGTCGGTAACAAAATCACCATTTTTGAAGGAAATATCATTGTTTTTTTCTTTTTCTGGTCGAAAATCAGGCTCAATGGGCATTAAATCCGGTCTTTGAATATTAGTAGAAGTTTCTGAAACTTCAAGAGCTTCGGAAACTGGCGCGTTATCTCAAAATTATTCAAATTGACGGTCCGGGACCCAATTTTCTTGCTTGCATCTTTTGTTTGCGATAATTTTGTGGCCACCGTCGCTGTCAGAGTCGTCAGGTGTGAGTTTAACGTCAGGTTTGCTCACTTTAACTTCCAAATTACCCTTTTTACGACTTTTAGATGGTTAATTGACGATATCCTGGTCATTTTTCTCTATGGAATCTTTAAGAACTGGGAATTTATGAGCTCTTATGATGGCTCCTATGGCGTACGTAAACGATGGGGCCGTCTTGATCTAGAACATCACCAAGACCTCGCCAGCTTTTGTTTCGAAGATGAAAAAAAACTTTCGAGACATTAGTGAAAAAACCATCAGTGCTAGGCGTGTTACATCTCAGTGCTCTCCGAATTTTCTCGCTGGATTCTGAAGCCACGAAAGCAACTTGTGCAGCGTGCAAAGCCGTCACATGTCTAAAGAAATGTTCACAAGCACTTTCTGGGCATAAGGCTGCCAAATTATCATCAAGCACTCCCTGAAACAAGCTGATAAGATGAATAACCGTGAACATTATACAGTCAAATTTTCGCATGACAGCCCATGAAATCGCGGTTTGGTATGGCATTCAAGTGTCAAGACAAATTTTTCTGGAGCATTTTGGTAAGAACAGCGTTTCCTTGCTCCTACAACTCGTTTGATCATGAAAAAGCTGCAGCTGTCTTGACAGACATGCTGAGATATCGGCCATATCTGGAAAATTCTGTTTGTTGAATTCCCCGACGTTATCTGTGTAAACACTGGTTCTCGGAACACCGTAAATGCTAATCCAGCATCGTAAAAAATTATCTATAATGGTCTCTGCTCGCTTATTCTCGATAACTGCAGCAGCACTTCGTCACGTTATGTTAGAACACTGTTTCATTCTGTGTAATTTATTCGCAAACAACCATACTCATAAAAACAACCCCACTTTAAAACTTACTTTTGTTTACATAACATGAGTCGTCAAACCGGAAAGAACATTAACGTTCTGTCTCTTACTTGTCGTTTCCGAATAGGTTACTTCGAGACTGAGGCGAAAAAGTTCCTGCTTTCTGATGCCGACAGTAAGATTTCTGTGGCGGACGCGGGAGATAGAGGATGAGGGCTCTTCACGAGGAGGAATCTAGAGGCTGGGGAGTTCTTTTGTGCCTACTGGGGAAAGCCGTTGCTGAAAAAGGAATATGAAGAAATGAGAGCAGCAGGGAACAAAGCGTACTGTTTCACTGATGGCCGTAACCTGTTCGTTGATGCCAGTGACCCACTCAACAGTGGGAAGGCTCGTTATATGAACTACAACCACGTGGATCCGAATGTTGTTATGAAGCGGATCATTCACAATTCCATCAGCCGTATTGCCTTCAAAACCACTAGAGATGTGCCAAAAGACGAGGAGCTGTTACGATTACGGGGACACGTTAGCGCCATGGAGAGTGGCGCTATTCCCCGGCATCGATATGCCAACGCCATTGCCATCGCCTCCACCGCTAGTGTCGCGGCCCGGATTGTCAGAAGCGGAGAGCCCTGCCATCAATGAAAATGACTCGGAAGCATTAGAAGACCGACCAGTGTCGAGATCCGAATTGCAGCTGGATCGCAGCCCGATCCGAATTGCAGGTGGATCGCAGCCCGCTTGAAGCGGAGGTCCAACCATCAGAAGACCGGCCAGTGTCGCGATCCGAATTGCAGCTGGATCGCAGCCCGATCCAAATTGCAGCTGAATCGCAGCTGAAGCAGAAGCGGAGGTCCAACCATCAGAAGACCGGCCAGTGTCGCGATCCAAATTGTCTGAAGCGGAGGGTCTTGCCATCAATGAAACAGGCAGTGAAGCATCAGAAAAGCGACCAGAACCAGTTTTTCGTTGATTCTCGTCTCCATAAGAAGGTAGACCCCAAGGTTAGTTTTCCCCGGCAAAAAAAAGAGGTCCTTCTGTTTCAGAAACCTCGACACACTGAAATGGAGCCACAAGAATTTCTACGTGGCAGATGCTCCAATGCCTCCACCGACAATTTTCTTAGTATCCTATGCTGACGACTTCACAGTTTTCGCCCTTGGGACCGACATAGAGACACTAAGCAAAGACATCAACAGCTACCTGACGACGCTCTGCAATTTTCTAGACTCTAGAGATTTGGAGATTTCAACACCGAAATGTTCCGTCACGCTCTTCACGCCCAGCACCAAAGAACACAAAATCACACCAGACGTGAAGATCAACGGGAAAGCCCTCACTCTAGCGAAAACACCAAAAATACTAGGCGTCACCTTCGATACAGCCCTGACATTCGGCCCACACTGCAAACTAGCCGCAGCTAGAGGAAGGAGCAGAGTGAATATCTTGAAAGCGCTGGCAGGAACTACCTGGGGACAGAGCAAGGAAACCCTCATAGTAGCCTACCAAGCCTTCATCAGGCCCGTCTTAGAGTACGCATCACCAGTCTGGACTCCGATCGCTGCACAGACCCACGTAGAAACGCTGCAGAAAGTCCAAAACTCAGCCCTAAGAGTGGCCACAGGATGCACCACGATGACCGCTATCCAGCACCTGCACGACGAGACGAAAATTCTACCTGTCAGGCGGCATATTCGTATGAAAGCAGTCCAGCACCAGCTAGCCCATCATCTCGAAGGACACCCTGGCAACAGGCTGCTAGACCGACCGGAACCGCCCAGAAACATGAAGGAAACGCTCTTCAGCAGGTACGAGAGGTACATCACTGCACTCCTCGAAACATCCGATTCAGAAGAAGACGACGACACGCACGTTACCGAAGAGGACTACAGAGGGCTCCTCAAAAAAGTGCACACAAATGAGGTCAAAGACGCCCTAGACAACCGGGACAACAACAAAGTGCTCGACGAACCAGCCCCCAAACTGAGCAAGGATGAATTACGACTGCCGAGAGGTACTAGACGGACCCTTGCCCAGTTACGGAGCGGCTACTCCCCATTCCTACAAAGCTACCTACACAGACTAGATGAATCAACCCCAGAAACATGCCCACAGTGCAACTCAGAAACCCACACAACGGGTCACCTATTCAGGTGCAGCGCAAACCCGACTACAATCACCCCCCACGCACTCTGGGAAAACCCGATCGAAGCAGCTGCTTTCCTGCAACTCGATACAGAAGAAGCCACAAATGAGGGACAAGAGGAGGGCCAAACTACGGGCACCTAGGCAACAACAACAACAACAACATGGAGCCACAAGAGGAGCCAGACAGACAGGAGGAACCGAGAAGCCCAGATAGAGGACAGGATGGAGAGACAGAGGAGGAACCGAGAAGCCCAGATGGAGGACAGGAGGAACCGAGAAGCCCAGATAGGACAGTGCACACTTTCATCCAGTGCAAGGAATGCGCAGTCTAGTCCAACAAAAAGTACTTCATTGATATGAGAAAGCATATCGAGGAAGCACACGTTGAGCTACCAATTCCCGACAAGACTTACCTGTTAAACACGTGGGAGGAAGATCAATGCCAGAAGCTCCAGGCACGTAAAAGATAACCCAGAGAATATGATGTGACTCGAAAGCGACTCCCCTAGTAGACCATTCCCAAGCAAACATCGACGGAATCAAGAAATGGACACCCCAATCAGTAAACGGAAGCGACGACGATCGCGATCAAGCAGCGATGGTTCTAATAAGAGCTTGGTGGAGGATCGAAGAACGTACCAAAATCAGGGCGGACAACAAACCAGGCGGACAACAAATATAAATGTGAATTTCGCGAGGAAGGCTTCAAGTGGCGCGCATCCCTCATGCGGCACTTTACAAAAACACATTCTGTGACCGATAAGAAAATCGTGAACTTATATCAAAAGTGTTACCTCATGAAGATCAACGGCATGACAAAAAGAACTTTTCTGTGTGGCAAATGCAACGAGCTTGTGGACGAAAAGTTCCGGCATAAGTTATCCACCAAAAAGAAGGGTGAAGATAAGTTTGGGAAGCACGATCCTGAGTGGGTTACTATTCGGGGGCTGAAAGATCTCCCAGACCTATCCTGGCTTTGGCGGAGAAACAAGATGCCGGCCAAATAGAAAGCCACTATTTGACTTGGAAGACCGAAAATTTCGTGCCATTGCCGGAGGGATTTAGAAAGCTACGAGAGAAGGACAATGACGCAGGAAGTTCGACGTCTTTCTCGAACAAGACGATCAAGGGCAAGATGCGCAAAATCAAAGAAGCCATCATAATGACGAAAGGACTCTCCGATGCAACAGGCATTGAGCGATGGGTGTATTCCTATCCAGATGGTCAAGAAAGTTTGATCTGTGCTAGCAGTTACCGCCATCTGTTTGTGGTTTTGATCCAACAGAGCATTATCGATTTTCTAAAGGCCGAAACAGCATACTGTAATTCATTTTATGCTTCCTCGCTTGATTATAGTTTTTTTTCAAAGCCAATGACGGAATCACTCATGCTGATTGCTTTACTACTGGTATATTTTTTGAACTCGGAATACGCTGATTACGCCAAATCTACAGAATCTTTCTTCAATATTTTGTCCATGTCTTCTAAAAGTAGCTTTACATCAGGGTTTGTACTGAATTGATCAGCATCGGACGTCATAATAGCTTCTAGTGCTGTTCCAGATAGCCTTACAGCAATAGCAAGAGCTCTTTTATTCGCTGGCAAAGGTGTCAATGTCTCCCACATCTTTATTTCGGTTTTCAACGTCTCGTACGATTTGGAAATTGTCAATGCCGGTGGGTTGTTGAACGCCGGCATTTCTGATAGCTCCTGCTACCAATGTTGAAACGGAATAAAAGGTGAAATTCTGAATTCACCCGCCGACAACCACCTGTACAAACTGAAACAAAACGAAAGCACTAACAAGCATTAAGAATGATTTCAACATTAAACTGTGTCGCAGATTTCAATTTCCAATAGGGTACGTTTTGTAGCTGGCTTTATCGCATTTTTCCCCTAAATTCGCGCCTTGAATTGTCTTTTATATGACTGATAACGTGATAATATATAACTTTCGGTATCCGAAAACTAGGTGCATTTAACTTAATACTGACTTTTTAGGTGTCTCCATGATTTAGGGCAACCACTTTTGTAGGGCAACCTTATAATGTATTTCGGCCTTAAATTAATTCATAGAATCAATGATCACAACCTCGAGATATAAAATCCGTAGCTGAGTAAGTTCTCTGTTTCAGAAGCTCAAGTCGAATAAACTGAAGGAAAGTTATGTCAACTGCAGTAACATGCCGTTTCTCAAGAGTGTCGGATCAGCCGCCAAGTTATTTCCTTTGGTGACATCAATACTAACCCCTTTTCAACCCACAGAAGATTTCGCTGCTATTGGTGAAGAAATAGTTAGTCATTTACTTCATAGTTGCAATTTAATAAGTGCATCTTATTTAATGCATGTAACGTTTTAAAGATCCCGACTGTGATAGACGTAGTGGCCAACGAGGGATTTGTCTGGGTCAAGGTTGTCGCTCGAAATGCAGAAGGACTCTGGAACAACTGGACAGGAAGTGAGTGTGCGCGTTGTCTTCTATTTCCAATCATCGGATGCATGAATGAACCCCCAGCCAGTTAAACTGTTATTTTAATCAACCTACGAGATGTGCCTTAGGTCAATTGCGATGTTAATATCATCTCACAGTTAACCTTTTTGTGGGAAATCAATTAACCTCAGTTAACTCTCACAATTAACCATCAACAATTAACCCACAAGCTACTGTAGATTTGAAACTATGATTTTTGCTCCGTAATTGTGGAATCTTTCAAATTAAGATGGGATCTTATGGCAAGGCATTTTTTGTCCTGATACCAAATTACTTGTAGCCTGGTAGATGATTTTTTCGGCCCGTAACATTTTGATACCCGAATGACATCTGAAAGAGTTTCCAATTGTACCAGATGACTTGAAATTGACGTTGCCTAGACTGTGAAATGTCTCACCGGAGCCTGGAAGAACAACTTGAAGAGCTCCTCTCCCTTGCAGAGTTGTGCCCAGTGTACTTCCGCAAACCAACAGTCGCTGTGTTCTTCTCAAACGCAATCTTCCGCAAAATGGCAGAGGAGATTGAAGAAATGGGAGTGAAGGTGTTCGGTTACATCCGAGATGAAGCGAGTTCAAACAGTGAAAAAGTGACTTTTCGCGATCCAAGTCGCTCGGATATTTTCGGAGATTCGAGTGTGATTCTGAATACGAGGTTCAGAAACCAGTCGTTTTTAAACGAGTTCGAAGTTGTGAATTTGGACGTGTCTACTATTTTGGCTCTGTGTTCTAACTTGACTCATGGTTATTGTGACTGGGTGTTACCGAACAGTACAGTTCTTAACATGCAAGTTGCGGATGAGTTGGAGCATTATGGACAGTTGTGGAACGAGTTGGATTCTTTTCTGAGCGGTAGGTTCCAGTTTTTAAAAAATTATGGTACATAACTACTTAGAACAATCAAGTTTCCACAATTTTAAATAGATTCAATATTAAGATGCTCTTTTCCATTCCCCCTCTATTTTTCAATGGTTAAATAAAAAAAAATTGAGTTCTTACTCTTCAAAAATTACAAAGCTGCGGCGAAAAGCTTCCTAATTGTTTTGCAGTCCACTCATTAAAATCAAATTCCAGCAAAACAGCTTATTGCGTTACAGAGTTTATTGCGTCGTCGAAAAAAAAAGAATTGACCTGTTATAACACGACATAAGGGCGAGCTTTGGGAGGTCAAATGCCTGTAGCTGATCCTAGGCACAGTTGCTAGCTTCATTTTGAACCTATTTTTACTGCGACTAGTTTGATGCCAAGATTTTTACGAGGATCGTGATTCAGCTGGAGTTCAATTTATTCGATTGTTATGCAGAAAAAATCGTTGAAAAATCATCAATCAAAAAATGCCACAGTAGATTGACAAAAAATCAAGATTTTTTCTGAGATTAAACGCCAATTTTCATATGAAGAACGTTACTTCATCGATTTACTAGACAAAAACTCGGAAAGTTTCGTACCGGTTTATCTCAACACTGGGATTGTTTTTGTTGTTGTAATAGCTCGAATCACGACTAAAATGGCTTTAATATGATAACGCTTGTATATTTTTCGTCTCATTACGATAATGATTTGTAGCTGATTTTGCGCGGAAAGCAAAAAAGGAAAACAAGGATAGCCGATTGCTGTGCAACTAACACTTCAATTTTTGTTCAACTGAGGCAAAGAAATTCCACTCTGTATGAATGTTTTCAAAAAAATTTCAGTCTCGCTCAATGCGGATTTCAAACACCAGTCCTATCGGTGTTAACTCCATCGATGTTATCATCTGCTCTCTTGAGGGTTGGACTGAAGAATTTTCCAACCACATTCTTAAAAAACCATCTTTTTTTGTGTTGTTTTTTTGTGCTTGTTGTGAGAAAAGCTTAGAACTGAGGCATGTCTGACAGGTTTAGTCAAATAGGCAAAAAGGCAATTTTTATTTTATTTTAAAAGGCTAAAAAAACTAAGTTATTCAAGATTTTTTAAAATAAGAAGCCTGCTCTGCTCGCTCGCTAGCAATTTAATTGAATAGATTCTTTTAAAATCCTATGAAAAGAAATTGAGCTGGGCAGTTGAGGCATGCTGGGACCAACAAAAATTTGATCCCTTTTCAAACATGAAGCTCAAATGTAACATGTCACTAACATCAATGAACCTGTTCTAGCAAACTATTAAATTGAACAAGAACTACCTTACAGTTTGCATTTAAAAGAAGGATTCCAATCAGCTGCGTGAAGATACTTGTGGCAAATTCTTCGCTCTAACTGTTCCTTACTACCTTCGTTTGCAGGAAAAAGACTGGTGTGTTGTGAGACAGCTTATACAAGTTACACCAACATTCTCACGGTCATTGGAGGAGAAAAGGAGAAAATGAGATCGAAAAAACTGTTCCAGAAGATAGAGGTCATTCCAGACATTGATTCGCCCACGGTTGACAAAGTGCCCGTGTCATCCGCCGTTAAAGATCGATCCAAGGTTGGGGCGATATGACTTGAAAAGCATACGTTTTGATGGAAAAAGTATTATTACAAACGATATTACAAGAGAAAGGTGTTTCCGAATGAAGGTTGTAGAAAACAATTTGAGTTACGTTTATCTCTGCTGAATGTTTTGAATTGTGTAATAAATTCTCTTGCATAATTGCGGGGCAAAAAACACTAATTTTTTTTTGCTTTTGTGTAGATCATATTTGGAACAGGATTTGAACTGAAAGCTGCCACTGTCACGTCAAATCTATCTTGTATCAGATCAATGCGACAAATAGTTAGTCAATACAACATTTTATCATTGATCTTTGCTGGCTCTACTTGCAGTGTCATTTGAACTGTTGATGGTTTCAGGGAATCTACTTTCCTGTGTTCGCCCATGTAGCTCGAGCGTTGACCGAACAAAAAGAGGCGAAAGCCGAGAAAAAGGAGCGACAGTCGTCAGTAGAATGGAATTATACTTCTGATGGATCGAGTAGTGACGTCTGCTCCTGCTATCTCTGCTCATACAGTGCACCAGAAATCACAAATTGAATATGAGTTTATTTTTTGTTTTGCCATATCAAAATGAATTATTTTGGTTATAAATGAAGTATAGAAGTGAAGTTTTTTCTAGGCATTTTGTTTTTGTGGCATAGACTTTTGTAACTAGCAAAATAGACGCAGCACAGGGTGCAGCAAAATCAACGTTATCAACATATTTATTTTTTCAATAGAAGATGCAGCTGGCATAGGTTCTATTTATCAAGATGTTTTTATTTTCAAATGATAATTTTTCAACGTTTACTGAAGATGCTCAAAATAAATTGGTTTTATGGGGAGCATGTAAAGAGACTAGCGTTGGGATTAGTATAGATATACGGCACTGGGATCGGGAGAAGGGTGATCCCTACAGTCATCATTGGGTATAGATTATACCTAATGATCCCTATTTAAATATTTATACGTAATGATCCCTATGTATAATATTCATACCTAATGATCCCTATGCATACCAAATGATCCCAATGAGTAAGTTTTGGGCAAAAATTGTTTCACCTAAAATTTTTTCAAAAAAAAAGAATTCAAAATTAAAAAAATAACTTTTTAGAATATATTCTCATAGATTCTATCTAGAAAGTTTATTTATTATGATCCCTGTGTATAAAGAGTGATCCCTATGTATAATCAATGATCCCTATGTACAACTAAGGATCCCTAATGATCCTTATGTACAGCCAATGATACCTACGTACACCTAATGATCCCTATGTATAGCTAACGAACCTTGCGTATAACCAATGATCCCTCTGCATAACTAATGATTTTTATGTAATATAAGTGATGTAAGACTAATGATCCCTACTTCTAACTAATGATCTCCATGTATGACCAATGATCCTTATGTATAAATAATGATTTTGTGTACAAATATTGATCGCTAATGACCCCTATGTGAAAATAACAATCTTTGAGCATAACCATTGATCCCTATATACAACTAGCGATCCTATCTATCTCTTTCTTTCTCTCTCTTCTCTCTTTCTCTCTCCGTCTCTCTCTCTCTCTCTCTCTCTCTCTCTTCTCTATTTTCTCTCTCTCTCTCTCTCTACACTGTCTCTATCCCTTATCTGTTTCTCTCTTCTCTCTCTCCCTCTCTCTATCCCTTCTCTCTCTTCTCTTTCTATCTCTCTCTCTCTCGCTCGTTCTATCCAGCTATCGATTTATCTAGGTTTCTATCTATCTAGCTAGCTATCTCTGGAGCTTTGAAACTTAAATAATATGCGTTACATGTATATACCAGCTTCGGTAGCGGGCAAAAGAAAAAAAATTCACTCTACGTTTTGACTGAACTTGTTTTCATCCTACACAAAATAACATTTGGGGTTATTGCCGTTAAAACTCTACCTTGGGATCAACTGGTATAAACTTTCACATTGAGATCTCTGGGAAAAAGAAATCACTTAGAAATTGTACAAAATTTCAGATTGAGATCTTTGATATACATAAGAATCATTAGCAGATAAAGGGATAAAAAGACCTACATATAGATCATTAGATAATCATAAGGATCATTACCATTACATTTTAACATTAGGATCATTTGACACACATGGGGGATCATTCTGTAACTTTTTGGATCATTAGTTTTACTTAGGGATCAGTGGTTAAATATATGGGTAATTGGTTATGCATAGGGACCATTAGGTACACAAAGGGATCATTAGCTTCAACTAGGAATCATTAGATGTAAATAGGGATCATTGGTTAAACAGAGAGATCATTTGTTATACGTGGAGATCATAAGTTATACATAAATTGGTTTTATGGAGAGTATGTAACAAGACTCATGCCTGAACAGACTTAGAAAAATGCGGATTAATTCTCGCAGCAAACTGGCCGCCTTCAGGCGCTAAAAACACAACCCGTGCTTGCAAGCAATCGACGTTTTTTGCTTTGTGATGTTGTAGTGTGCCATTTGCCGGCAGTTGTTGCCGTTTGTCAAATCCAACATTTGACAGCGGCTTAGCTGGACTCTCAAACTTTGCATTATTGCAAAAGAAATTAATCAAGTAAAAAATGAAATGTTCGAATTTTCAGATATTGCTTTCAAGTATCAATATTATAAGTTCTCACATTTTAAAGCTTCATTTTGTTTTTTTTTGCTGGTTTTTGGGACTATTTTGTTTTTCACTATCTATTTATCATCAAATATCCAAAACTTATTTGTCGCGTTTCATTTATCAAGCAATCGATTGTGTGATACGAGTTCACTTTTTCAAACCTAGGTCGCATGTTTTCGTGTTAATTTTATGTGTTCTGTTTTATCGCAGTATATGCATTAAAACTACCGTAGAATGTTTGTGTTCGGTCCATTTTTTTCTATTCTCCAAACAAATACCGACTTTTTGACTAAGTCTTTTTATGGAATTTGAAAAATGTCTATATGCTATGACTTGAAAATTATGAAGATAATTTACCTGTAGCTAATTTATGTAACGTTACGGGGCCAAAAATGTCAATTTGGCCACCTCATGTTATTCAAATTAAAGTATATTTCCGTTTTTTAATGCGTTAGCTGCTCAGCAACCAATGCTATTTGAATTGAGGCAAGCTAATTGGTCTTAACTACGTGTCGCTGAATATCATGATTTTTCTGAATGTTTATCAAGTCTTTTTCCTGGACAAATTGAATTGTCGGAGTTTCGTTGGTCTGCTTATAATATGTCGGCGTAGTTGCAACCTCGGGGACTTTCTTTATGCTGTCAGAAGTTTTCGTCGTAGATACAAGAGATTTTGATTTACTCCTGTGATTTGTAAAATTATTAGCCCAGACGATGTATTTTTTCTTTGATTTCCTTTTGATTTTTTGTTCGCCTAAATGCTTTAATCGGTGTAAATGGTGTCGGTTTTTGTTTTCAAAGTTTTTTAACTTAATTGCTCACAATTTTCTTGTCACAAAAGTTTTTGTAGATTTTTTTGTTTTCGGTTCAATGAAACTCTATACTTTTTTGTCGGTTTTTTGGCTTCTCGGTAATTTCTGAAAGCTTATTGAATACTGGTGGTCGTTTTTTAACGGTTTTTCTGACATTATTTGTATTTTCCCCAATTTTTTTCTTCGATTTTTGATTTCGTCTGATTTTCTGTTCGCCAGCTTGCAATGCTGCGCTTGCCTTTTATCGCAAGTGATGCGATGCTCTGTTTCGCTTCTGTGTATTTAGTTGTTTAATATTACATAGCTGTATAAAGGTTCACATTTTTTGTGCTGCTTCGTCGAAATCAAAATTAGCAGAAAATGAGTTGTAGTTGTACTTTGAAGTTTTTTCGATTTTAATTCGTGCAGATATAGAATAAGGATGCTGTTCCGACTGTACTCCAATTTCTATGGAGATTTTGGTTCGAAAGTGTAATGAAATTTTTATTTTTTGTTTTGTTCCATATAAAAAATCGGTGCACTGCAAAGAAACATTGGTGTCTTTGAAGTAACAATATTTGAAGCAACATTCGAAAATTCATGTATTATCTAATTCGTGTAACTACATGAATTTTTTTTTGCTTTCTGGGACATTTCCGTGATTTACTTAGATTTTTGAATACTCACTTCTAATAGGCTGAAAATGACCTTTCAACTTTCGATCTCTCCATTATTAAGGACACCACTGTTGGTTAAGTCAAAAGTAGTTTTAGCTCCCTATTATTTGGTTGCAGTAAATCAATTAAAGCATTTGCAGTCTTCTTTTTAAACTGATATACTATCAGTTCCATCTTAACAAGGTATTGAAAAGATATGAAAAGATATTAATCCAATCAAAATAGTCGTTGCGAAAAATTGAGTTTTTTCTGACGTTTTGATTTAATTAGCTATGAAGCTGAGCATGAGGGTTCGTCAATTTTATTTAAAAGCTGAGATATTGAACATTATTTTAAGTGGTTCACACTTGCGAGCTTGTGACCTTTGTGTATTCGGTAAACCTTCTTTTTTTCTAAACTAACTCGCAAATAAAAGTGCTATTTTGGTGGCACTTTTGCTGTAATCGCGATCTGGAGTGTGGTCTGTGTTTAGACAATCGGGCATTATACTCGTCAGAAAGCAGACAAAAACTATTTTTTAATCTATCAGTATCGAGATGAGAAGGCAAACTTACGAAATTCCTGTTTGATTTATTAAACAGGTATTATGAAAACGTTTTTTTTTTCCAGATGAGATCTGGTTTTTTTTTTTTTTTTTTTTTGAGACGCTTTCCCAAAAAACTACCCGTCAAATACTCATAAAAGTGGTACCAATGGATTCAGTAGCGTTTCACCTACCTGCCTGCATAAAATTTAGGGCAATTTTTACCCTACCCCACCCCCTACGGTCTTAGAAAAGCTTCACAACTCGGTACTTTTTTCACTTTTTGCCCATTTTTTCGGAAATTTTCGATTTCCTCAAAAACTACCCGTCCAGATTTGAGATTAAGGGTTTAATCGATAGACCAGGTTGTAGGAACCCCCCATGCACAAGCGTCTGGTCCCTAATTTGCTTAGGGGAAGAGCTATAGACTTGGGAAAAGTCACTTTTTTGATTTTTTTGCCTATTTTTTCGGAAATTATCGATTTCCTCAAAAACTACCCATCCAGATTTGGAATTAAGGGTTTAATCGATAGACCAAGTTGTAGGAAACTCCCATGCACAAGCGGCTGGTCCCTAATTTGCTTAGGGGAAGAGATATAGACTTAGGAAAAGTCACTTTTTTGATTTTTTTGCCTATTTTTTCGGAATTTATCGATTTCCTCAAAAACTACCCATCCAGATTTGGAATTAAGGGTTTAATCGATAGACGAGGTTGTAGGAAACTCCCTCGCACAAGCGGCTGGTCCTTAACTTGCCTAGGGGAAGAGCTATAGACTTAGGAAAAGTCACTTTTTTGGCCTTTTTTTTTTTAATCTTTCCGATTTCCTCAAAAACTACCCGTCCAGATTTGGGATTAAGGGTTTAATCGATAGACCAGGTTGTAGGAACCCCCCATGCACAAGCGGCTGGTCCCTAATTTGCTTAGGGGAAGAGCTATAGACTTAGGAAAAGTCACTTTTTTGATTTTTTTGCCTATTTTTTCGGAAATTATCGATTTCCTCAAAAACTACCCATCCAGATTTGGAATTAAGGGTTTAATCGATAGACCAGGTTGTAGGAAACTCCCCCGCACAAGCGGCTGGTCCTTAATTTGCTTAGGGGAAGAG